GACGCAACCCGACGACTTGAGCGTGATGGGAATGTGGAGGCAACAGATGATCCACCATCACATCTACTCAGCCGCACTAAGCCCATTGGACTAAGCCATTCTGAAGAATCTACCCACACACATAAGTGCTTCTGCAGCATTGCAACGCCCACCTCCGAACACTGCAACGCTCACATAACTATCTAGGACATTCAACAATCTACCTGTCCACCAATCAGAGGTATTCGTAGCACTCGTGTCGAATACAAGGGCAATGCAACTATCATGACATTGGAACGAGGAAGATGCATCTTACGCGTGGGGTGAGACCGGGTGGAAGAAATGATTCTGACATCCTTGACAATTGCTGCACAGGTTCCCGAAAATTTGGATTCGAAGGCTGGAGGGAAGACGCCTGTGGTGGCAGTGGAGTGTCGGCATTGGTGCTTGGACCAGTCTGGTGATGTATTTGTTGATTGAGGTTGTGGATATCGTCACCAGTCATCGTGTAATGCGGATGGTGGTCTAGCTGTTGCTTTGCTGGCGACTGCTGCTTTGCACGGATGAGGAACGCCAATGCGGCAACGCCTAGTGTTATAGACGTTTACGTTTGATCTGTTGTCACTCATAGAAACAGCACGACACGTTTTAGGCCAATAAACTGGTGATTTAAAATCTTCAAATTTGTTTTGCAGATGACCCTTAGTCACAGGCCTGATCGCACTTCAAGAATACGCAAGTATCCAAACGTCGCCGGTTAAGACCCATCTGCACTCATATCACTTACCGCACTCCATGTCACCGACAGATTGTGCTCATATTTGTCAAATTGTCAGCTTTGGACATCGGCAGGCGACAGTTTAATACACAGTCAGACACAAGATTTCGACGCTGGTTTGTCATCTTAGGAAGCTTGAATTTCAACAAGTGCTACATCTTTCGAGTGATTTCGTGATAAGACAGACTCTTATCCTCTGCGCTCTCCTCCCAAATATCTACCCTCTTCTGAACTGAAGCAATATTTGTGAGGCTCAAGTACTTCAACTTCAATTCACCACTCGTGGCTGCATTCGGCTTTCCTTTTTCGTTGAATCACGAAGTTCCCGTGGCTGTAAATACAGACGCGAAAACGCCGCTACCATCTCCACTACCACAAACACCACCACCACCAACACCACCAGCGGTGCTGGAGACACTGGTGTCGCCCCATGTTCGCGTGTGGTCGTAGAAGAGGAATTCGTTGGAGAATGACTTGGGGTCGTAGATGATCTCAATTTGCATTAGGAGAGGTGCTGCACGTACGCTGAGGCGTCTAGAAAATATTTTGTCATCTACAGAATCGCCGCTTAGCTAACCACGAAAGCGACAAGTGCGAATTTGCACTGTTGAGAAGATGGAAATGTGCATGCCATGTGAGTCATCAGCGGTACTACGAGTCATCAAGCAGGAGTTGCGCATTCGTCCAGACTAAAGGACAACTTTAGCACCATGGGCCTGTCGCGAGCAGACAAA